AGCATAATTACCTAGCAATGACATTTGTGACCACAGACTTGCACGCGTCACACCAGAACCTAGGTTTCTTCCCTTTGTTGTTGACACCATTAACCCCAGCATGGACATGTGTGACCTTCTTATTGCAAGATTTGCAACTAATGTAGTACCATGCCCAATCAGTATCAATGGCATAGATGGTACACATCAGCCTTGCCTTACCAACCTAAGAAAATAGAAAATATAACTTAGAGAAAGCTAGATATAAAGACTGAGAAAGCAAAGTTTCTTACATCCATAGAAGTGATGAGTTCTGAAATTGTGTTCCTTGGAAACTCATCATAATCTTCCTGTTTGGCATTGACAATAGCAAATCTTGGTACTCTCTCACGGAATACACAGATTATACCATCATCCGAGAGTCTAATTTTTAACATAAGAGTTAGCAGGTAATGAAACAATAATGGAGAAAGTAGAATAAGAACTATATAATTAAGGCAAGTCTTACGATTGGATAAAAGCAGCTACTTCAAGGTAGGCTGGATTGACATGGACTTGAGTAGCATCAAATGAATTTGATAAGCTCCTAACACCTAGGTAATATAAGAACTGAAGTCAAAAACTGTCTGAAAGTAGCTACATATGTATGTATAACTGAGAGTAGCTGTTAGGTACCTTTGAAAGCCTTTATCTTAGCAAATCGAATCAGGCACACGACAGTCTTGCCTTCAGCAGCTTGACAGGCTGTGTAAACAGTCTCAGCAAATGACCCCCACAAAGTAACTGCAATTCTCACATCCCTAAAACAAATACAAAATGTCAGTATATTGAAAATCTATATAGATATAAACAGAGTATGTTGAGAGTTAAAATATCACGTCTCATCTCTCATTTCGAAATCAAGCTTGCAAGTAGGCTTATTATTAGCCTCAAGGTTCTCCAACTCAGATACCATAACAATTTGGCCCATGACATCTGTTAAAACAAATACAAATGTTTAGTATATAATATAGTAAAAGAATAAATATATATGCTTTACATATTTACATATTTAATAAATAGATCACTTACCAACCAAAATATGGGGATTAAGCTCTCCACTGTGAATCTTTTGGAACTTGGCCAAAGACAGGTAGTTTGATTCAGACTTAGGTTCAGAACCAAATACAGTAGTGGTGTTGACAAAAGTCATCTTGTAGAGATGATTTGTGGGACGGAATTGACCACCAGCATAACTAAGACCAAATATCTCAATTAAGACCCAATCTCCAACAGTTAGACTGTTGACATACCTGGAGACCAAATCCTTTTTGACAGTGCAATGAATTTTCTTCCCCTGCAAAATGAAGTATTAGTTATGGTAGGAAATAGATAAAATGATGTATATAGGAAAATTGATATGTTTTGTATTTGCTTACCAGTTCATCAGAGAACACCAACTCAAGAGTCTCACCAGTATCAGAAGTGTACTGTTTCCAGGCGTGAAGGACTTTCACCTGCACTCTCCAGCCAATCTTGTAAGGACGAACATCTTTGAGGTAACCAAAAGTAGCAGCCATTGTGGACTTTGTAATATTTGTTTTGATGGATAGTGAAGTGAGATGTTTAGTTGCCGATGGTGAGAGTTGAAATGCAAATGAGAGTATATATAGTAAAATGATTTAGGTTAAGCATGTAGAGTTGTGATCACGCAAAAATATATTTAGGAGAATAAAATTAGGTATAAAATCTTTGGATCCCAACATAAAAGGAATATGCGTGATTATTAGTTTGTAATCGCAATATATTTCTTGTTATAAATGGATATAAGAGAGATATTAAAGCGAGATAATCTCGGAGAATGAATGCAGGTACCATTCAATGATTGAGAGGAATATATGTCGTTGCTAAAACTGGAAAACGATTCTGGAGAGTGATTATCGGGTACCATTCAAGGTAGTTTGAGAGTAAATCAAATTGATGAGATATTCTTGCGAAAGATATTTGGTAATTTAGATAGGATTAGGTTTAATAGCAATGTAAATTAAATGCAAATCTAGATATTAAAATGATTTGGAGGTTTTATTAGTTTCCATTTGATAAATTTTTGTCATATTTGGTTAAACGAATTGTTTAAAATGGTATATACGCTTTGGATTAGGATTAGTTTTTGGTTAGTTGATTTAATTTCGAAGATATGACCGAGATTATGGTGATTAAGAGTTTTAATTACGAATATTTGACTTCCATTTGTTAGGATTTGATATCTCGTAAACGAAAAATTAGGAATTGTTAGATGAGTTTATTAATTGTTTTGTAAATTTCATTAAGACAAATATTTTGTCAGATTTTATTTGTAGGGACTAAATGTACAATATTGAAATTGTAAAAGGATTTTTGAGGCCAAATCTTCACCAAAAATGTATATATATATATACATATATATCTGACAAAATATATATATATATATATATAATATATATATATATATATATATCTGTAAATAAGATTTAATCTATAAGTATCATTTTAAATTTAATAATATATTATTTTTGAAGATTTTCTTAAGATTTTCGTTTCTTAAATTAAAAAATAGCCTTCTCAAATAAATTCAAAATTTTAATTACTAGAAATTGACCCACGTGTTGTGTGGATTTAGTTGTAAACTATATTGGTCTAATTATTTTATTTCATTAAAAATTTTGTCCTGAAAAAAAAAATGCATAAGTGCATAATCTTCTTAAATTATTTTATTTTTGAAATTTTGTGTATAACAATAATATAGAAAAAATATATGAATTGAACTAGTGAAATGTGGTAACGACTTTTGTAGTGCTAAAAAACAATAAGAAAGTGATAACTGCGGCGTTAATGTTAACTGACAAAAAAATTACAATAATTTTTAGATGTAATATTATAATAATACAAATATTACACTATCTTAATATATTGACATATCAAATAATAATATCTTATAAACACAATTTACAGTGATCAATAATTTTTATGTTTTAAAGATTTTATGATCTAATATAAGAACTATTCAGATGAAAAATATTTCATATTTATTTTTACAACAAATACATAATGTTTGTATTATTATCAAATACAGTAATTATATTAAAAATATTATATTAATAAACACTTCATTGCTTTGTATATATAATTGTTACTGGTGCAAGGATTTATAAGGACCAGATTATGTACTCGCGCGTTGCGCGGGATTTTAATTTAAAACTTTTATCAATGCGATTTTTTTAGTATAAATCTAATCATTTTAATTTTAATTTTGTTTTACTCATGTGCATTATCTTTCCAAAATAGTAAATAATTTCTCTCTTTATCTTTTTGTGGTTCACTCGTCGTCTTCCGACATCAACTACCTTTTCACCTTATATTAGCTCACATATAATATACTCGACCGTAGTTCTCAAGATAGATCATATATTTTCTCTTTCCTATCTTTGAATACTCAATTTTTTTTATATGTCGCAAAATTTTTTATTAAACTGAACATCAGAAAATCTAGGAAAATGTTTGTCATAAGGTTTCTTTGACCATGTTTGGTGCATGTAAAATTGTTTTATAGAAAACAAATCTTATATATGAACTTATTCCTATTCACAAACATCGGATTTTAACATCAAATTTTGCACTTTATCTTAATTGTTTGAAAAATACAAAATTCTATTTTCACATATATAATTTGACGTATATTATGAGTCTAGATAGTATTCTTAATGTTTATTTTCCTAAAACGTGTAACTTCAGAACTAATCAATTTAAATTATGTTTTCTTAAAAACAAAATATTTCTTATTTCTAACTAAAAACTCTTCAATCTATTTTTCTAATTTCCAAATAGCATTCTTAAACATAATAATTATTTTTTTTATCAATCACACATTAATTATTAAAAAACTCCTTGATTGGTTGCCTAACTAGGAGGAATAGTGTAAACATAATTATTATTATTACACAGATTTATTATTCGAGTAGATTATTTTGTTTTTATTTGTGATGTTTAGGAAAGATTTTTGTTTTATTTCAAATCACCTTATTTTTCAATCTATGTTAGTTTCCTAAATACTGATTAATAACTTTTTCGTTCTTAGGTATTCATTCTTTATTAAAAAAAAACCTCCACTTTTGAATTTAGAAAACATTAATAATATAGACAAATTTATTAATTTAACTATTTATATTATATTATAATTACAAATAATAATATGTACTCAATTCTTCTTAATTTTTTAACCGGTATCATGAATTGATACTTTAATTTTAACAAATATATTTTCAAATTTTTAATATGTATTTTTCTGAAATGAATTACTTTTTAGGAAAAACCTTTTAATTCTGATTCTTATTTTCTTTATTCTGCTAAATAATTGTTGTACCATTAAAATATATGATACGTTTTTTTTCTCCTATCTATAACCATTAAAAAATATTTACTCATTATATGTTAAAATATTTTCTTTAATCTTTGTTTATTATATAATAGGAGAGTTCTCTCTCCATCTTAGATATCCACATCACCATCCACATCAACGTCCACCTAAGAGTATATCTAATTAAAATTCATTTAAAATATATTCTATACATACTTATTTATATTTATTGTTATTTATGATTAAATTTTTTAATTTAAATACAAATTTATTAATATTATAGTAAAGAAACTATGAAATATGTTATACGTAATAATACAATTTGAATTTTGGCAAAAATGTTTAAGATTGATCATATTTAAAACATTAAACATTTTAGTTTTAGAATTGATATATTAAATATGTTGGGTATTTCTAAAATTGTATGAAAGTTAAAAGGTCATATATTTTCACATATTTAAAACAGAAAAATGATTGTTAAAACCTAAATATTGTAAATGTTTCAAATTGTATATATTGAGGAAATAAAACTGAAACGGAAACTGTAACACCAATTCGGTTTTTATATTTAATTTGAATTTTGTTTTAAAGCTAGTGAAACTATAACTTATCCTCTTGCACTATATATACGAATTGGCTTTTCCAATCTCTCCACCAAATATAATTACATCCAAATCCTAAAATTATGATAAAAACAAAAGAGGTTACATTTGTGACAACTTTGATTTTATTATGCGTGTTTATATGTAGCATTGATGCGCAAAGAAAATATATTCACTATCCAATTAGAAGAGATTTAGGTAATGGTTGTAATCCAAGATTTCCTACTGCCGCATGTTATAAGCGCATACCAGCGAATCCATATACGCGAGGATGTAGTATGGCCAATAGATGCCGCCGTTCTACTTCTTCTGTACGAGTATCATCTTTGAAAAAGTTTTTGGAAATACCACCAATGTAAACACTATATTAATTGTTAAGAAAATAGAGATGGATAAAGTTATTAAGTATTTTAATTTGTTCCCATTAATCTCCGTACCAACTATTTATCACAACTATTTATCAAAGAAATTTCATTTACATGGCAGAAAATCAAATGTTCTCATTAATGTTGTATTTAACTCTTATTTTCTTTATTCTACTAAATAACTGTTGTACCATTAAAATATATGATAAGTTTCTTTTATCCTATCTCTGACCATTTGAAAATATTTATCCTATCTTAGTTCAAAATTTTCATATTTTGTGTTGTATATTTTTTTTCATTTTTTCATGTTTAATTTATTTTTAATTGTTGTACCATCAAAATTTATGATAAGTTTCTTTTATCCTATCTCTAACCATTAAAAAATATTTATCATTACATGTTAAAATATTTTTCCAATCTCAGTTCAAAATTTTCAAATTTTTTGTTGTATATTTGTTTTTCATTTTTTCATGTATAATTGTTTTTTTGAAACTATTCTTTTTAATGTAAAGTATGTGAATTAATTTACATTTACTGTTATTTATTTTAATAAATAAGATATGTGGAGCCCATAGAAATAGTAAAATGTGATGACATGGATGCTGATGTGGACATCCTAGGAGGAGAGAAAACTCATATATATATATATATATATATATATATATATATATATATATAGATTTGGAAACACCCCTTTAACTCTTTTGTTATGTATTTAAAATTATCTTCATTTATTATAAATAAATTTGAATTAAATGATATTTTTAATGTGGACACCTTAGATGGAGAGAGGACTCTCTAATTATATATATGATTAATAAAAACAGTAACTAAACAAGCAAATAATAATAAAGTTATACGGTTAGATGAAAACTTCAAATAAATTCTATGGATATATGAAAATTTCAAATAATATATATTATTCATTTAAAAATAGATTTTAATAATAAATCTAAACAAGAAATAGATATGAAATAGAAAAATAATCATATAAATATATTTTTAGGATTCAATTTTAGAATTGTTTGTGCCCAAAAATAACAATATACTTTTATTTTAAAATTTTCAAGAAAATGGAACAATATAGAAGTTTCATAGTAAGTTAAACAAATTTCCTTTTTCAAAACCCAAAATCACAGATAACATATTTATTCAATATAGTATACAATTAAAAGCAAAAAATTATCTGAAAGTTGAATCAAGATTCTTAAAAAAACAACCGCTTCAACCAGTAAAAATTATCATGGGTCAATGCGGATTTTACTAGGTTTTTTCTAACATTTTTAAATGATTAGATCACAGAAGCCATTGATGGGAAACATTGTTTACATAAGTTATATAATGCGGTTGGGTACAAACTTTTCGTGCCAAATTATTTGTATTAACATTCGCACTGCGAGGAACCAAAGCTAAAGAAAATGTTGAAAATTCCCCCTTGTCACTCTGAATTTCTTCCAAATATATTGAAAAGGCTGGCCAATCATTGGGGGAAGAAACAATCTTCACTAGGTCGGAACAATATGTGAAAAAGCTATGTTTCGCTTGTATGCTCCAATAATAAACTTCATTGCCCGGACGAATGCTTCCACCTCCGTATGTAGTGACCTAAGACTTCATCTAAGGTTTGCAGAACTCATGGTTGGAGGGTCCCCATGTCGTGACGTACATTACCATCCAGTCCCTAAAAACTTATCACAATCTTTCTAAGCTCATCTATAAAACAGCGATAACCAGAGATGTGTGGCCCGAGTCTTCTGACTCTCAAATGATTTTGATTATCTGACACCATTGATCCCTGAGTTTCCTCATTAATCTACATATGAGCTAATTGCCAGGCATGCTCTTCATTTTCTGCCAATCACAACACCTCCATTGGATTGTTATCCGTGTTTTCATAACAAATTTCATTTCGAGTTTTCCATAAGTACCAAATAATCCAAGGAAACGAAGATGTATAGAATCCAGGGAGAGTTCTCCAAAATAAGTGATCCATGTTCATATATAAGGAACATATTGAGAAGATACCTCAAGCCATTAGAATTTGTGATAATGCCAATGTCTGGCTCGTTGGGAGGCATTAAAAAACATGATTAATTGTTTTCTCCATATCCCCACATCTAGCGCAAAGTGATTCATAAATGATACCCTGTCTTTGAAGGTTAGTCATCATTACCGATACACATTCGGTTATGACTTGCCACATAAAGTGTTTTAGTTTTGGCGGACATTTCACTTTCCAAGTCTAAGCTTGTAGAGCTTTAATGTCATGACCAAAACTGTGGATCCCAAATCCTTCTGGAATTTGTAACTAGGCCGTGTGCTATCTAGAATTAACTTTGTATTTTTTGGATTTTCTAAAATGCCACCATAGAATATCAGGTTTGGTTGGGTCACCAAAAGTTAGGGCACTTATTAACATAGCACCTTCCTTACCAAAGGTAGCTTGTAACATATTAACGTTCGAAGAATTAGTCCAAACGTCAATAAGATTTTTAACAGTGAGTGATGGTAAAAGGAGTGTACCATTACTTGTTGTTGGTCTTGAGAAACGAGCTAGAATCCATGGATCCTCCCATACTGAGGTGTAGTCGTCGGAATCGACTCTTTTTGTTAGGTCTTTGTTAACTAGAGATCTAGCATAAACTATAGTTCTTCATCCATAGGATTGTGAGTATGACTTTATCGATGCCAAAGGATTAGATATCCGATAATAACGTCTTTTAAATACCTTTGCAAGAGTGAATTAGGAAGCGAAATCAACAACCCTAATTGTTTTTCTAGTAAAGCTGTATTAACATCATCCACGTATATTTCGAAAGCCCAATCCACCATCAGTTTTACTACCACAAACCTTATTCCATGCTAGCCAATGCATTCAGCTAGATTGACTAGTTTTACCCCACCAAAACTTCGCTACTACACTCGTGATTTTCGACGTGATTGCTATTGGAAGCTGAAAACAGGACATTACGTAGGTCGGTAATGATATCGGGGCTATATATATGCAGCATGGAGAATAGGTATTATAACCGATTGGTAAAAATTATGACTGTAGAAATTACGATTTTAAATAACTAACAAATATGTGGGAAAATGAATCTTAAAAGAACAAGAAAAAAAAACTTAATTGTAAATCAACTGAAATTTTTCAAAAATTAATTCATTTGTGAAAGTTATAAAGGTTTACATACATATAAGAAAAAAGAAAAAGAAAAAAACTATATGCTTTTAATTTATTTATTTCTAAAGTCCCATTTACGGGGGTGATTGGCACAAGGCTTTAAAGACTTTAGGGCTATTCTAAAGTCTTCACAGCATTTTTTTTGCCAATTAGGCTTTTATGACTTTAATTATTTTTAAAGTTCTCAAAGCCTTTTTTTTTTCCCTTTTTTGTTTTCCTTCTTTTTCTAAAGTCTCAAAAACGTGGATTTAGATTTCTGGAGACATTTATCAAATGAATAAACAATTAAAAGCTTTTTTTTTTCTTATCCCCATGATAATTAAAAACTCTCTACATGTTTACATATATCTTTTCATAATTTTTTTTCTATAAATTAATTATTCTCATTTTTCTATCTTTCTTTTAAGATCCATTTCACTAATAATCATTTTATTTTCATCATCATCATTAATGTTGGTTTAAAAGAGTATATAGAATTAGTATTTTTTTCAAAAGCCATATAAATTTTTTAAGTTTATTCCACTTCTTACTAATGTGTTGGGTATTAAATTTCCGCATAAAATAATAAATATAAATAAATGTGTGCATTTAGAATATTCATTTCTAAATTTTTATCATTTCTTTTAAATAAATATTTTATTATTAATAATGAATTTTAAGTTCCTACCAAAACAAATAATGGATTATTAGTTTTTTTTCTTATTGCAATGTTTGGTTATTAAAAATGAATGAATAATATATATTATTTTATTTCTAGAGAATATTTATCTATTTATTTATTCATTTATTTATCAATTTATGGTTTTTTTCTAAATTCTTATCATTAATAAAACTATATTTGCATATGAATTCATTTCTAACATAATTTATATTTATTATTAATATATTATAAAAATATTAATAATAATAATAATAATAATAATAATAATAATAATAATAATAATAATAATAATAATAATAACAGTCACAGCTTCTACAGTTTTGTGTTACCAATCAGATTTTAACAGCCAAAGTTTTTACAGTCAAAGTCTTTACAGCCAAATTCTCTGCAGCTCAAATTTTTAAAGTCAAAGCTTCTAAAGCCAAAACTTACAGCCGTTACCAATCGGCCCCGTACGTGACTTTAAAAAAAACTGAAAGCAAAGAGTAAAAAATAAAAAAGAGACTTTGAAGGCTTTACAATTTATTAAAGCCAAAAAAACTTGATTGGAAAAAAACAACTTTTAAAACTTTAAAAAACTTTTTAAAGTCTTAAAAGTCTCTTCCAATCACCCCTATAGTTTATTTTTGTTTGGTCATTATATCAATGTCATTTTTTTTTTGTCAACATCTATGTCATATGATATTTTTTTTTGGTAGGATCTATGTCATATGATATAGTAATATTTAATTTTAATTTTTTGATAAACTCTTTTAATATATAAGATAGAAGGAAAAAAAAATATAGAAACTAAGCGAAAACCCTAATTTAGGTGAAAGATATGGCGCATGTGCAGAACCTTCCATGGGAGTTGATTGAAGAGATACTCTCTCGTGTCCCACCTAAATCTCTTGTTCGCTTCAGAACCGTATCGAAACAATGGAACGCTCTTTTCGACGACAAGACGTTCATCACTAACCACAAGATGACGTTTCGATTCATCCTAGCAACAGAATCCAAGATTTATTCGGTAAGCATCGATCCGTTAATAGTGGTACGTGAGCTAACATTAGGTACTCCCGGTTTAGAATCTCTGGAAATTAAAAACTTGGTTGATTGCAATGAGTTGTTGCTATGTGGCAAGAATAATGGAGCCGTTGTTTGGAATCCATGGTTGGGACAGAGTACATGGATCGAGCCGAGTTTAATCCATTCGGATATGGGATTCGATGGCATAGGATACGACAATAACAATTACAAGATTGCTGCTTCGTCCCCTGGGAACGAAGACGAAGACGACTTGTGGACAACCTATGACTTTCCCTCTGATGTGTGGACAGACCACGACTCAGAACCTGATGATCGTAGCAATTACGTTATAAGTGTTGTGTCGTTGAATGGAACTTTGTATTGGGTTTCTTTTGATGACATGAACGATCCCTTGTGTTACGTAACTAAATTCGATTTTTCGAGCGGATTATTCATAAGATTTTGTGATCTACCATGCGGGAGAAACCATCACGATAGCGAAGCTCTTGTCCTTGGTGTCTTTAGGGGAGATCGGTTTTCGTTGTTAAAGCAATGCATGGTAACAAAGAAAATTGAGATTTGGGTGACTGAGAAGAAGATTAACCATGAGGATGGTGATGATGTGGTTTGGATGAATTTTATGACTTTTTCAAGTCCTAACTTGCCGGATTTAGTAGAGACCGGAAACTACTCTGATCCAAGTTACTTCATCGAAGGTAAGAGGCTCGTGGTGTGCTCTTGCGACAACACTGGTCACGCTTGGATCTATATATTGGGGGATAATAAGTTGATCAGTAAAACTCGTATAGATTGTGTGGTTGATCCTTGGCCTTTGCACTGTACCTTTGTCCCCAGTTTGGTACCGGTTCCTGCTCGATGCCGAAGAGATGAACGGGCAGAATTACACGTTTAGTTTTATTACATGTTTGACTCTTGTTTGGTACGTTATAGAGAAAGCTAAAGTTGATTTGAATTTTGGTACCATCTTCTTTGTTTAAGCAAAACTATGCATCACTTGTGTTAGTATCATAAGAAACATGAAGTGTCTTTTCTGTTTTACCTAAATCCTAGGGTTTGTTAAATACAAATATCCTTAGACTAAAAGAGCCGAACTTGTCCAAGACTAAAAGATTTAACTTTAAAACTTTGATGTTTTGATTCTATTGACTAGCTTGTCCAGTACTCCGAAGCTACATCGAAGTTTCCCTATTACAGAAGTCACATGCACACAAGTGACAAGAACATAGGATACACTGTTTGGTACAAAGAGTTACAGAGATACAGATGCGAAAAAAACAACACCGGCATCAAGGGCCACATCAATTAAAAGAACGCTTCGCCTTGATTCCTTTCCGGGGGAATAAATAGATGGACCATTTCGCTTTCTCAGGCACGTTCATCATTCACGTGGTTCGGGACCTCGGGTTGGCTGTCCAGTGGCATGTACTGTGCCATTATAGCTCTGATCTCTGAGTCCATGTATTGCTGTAAATCCATGAACATAAAACTATGTTTTAAGAGACATCTCAGGCAACCAAAACATAAAACATTAATCTTTTGCTTTTACCACAAATAGAAGAGAGAGGAATAAAAAGCTTACCCTCAATCTATATTTGTAAACGAGGTATGCACCAGCAGCTGCAAGTCCCAATGATAACATAATAAGCCAAACGGCCGCCCACGCTGATTTCACTTGTGAACCCGTCTTGCCTAAATTTCATCCAAAAGAACCAATTTCAGTTGAAAGAGAGAGGGAACGTTTCTAATTACAGAGGCTATTTGTATGCACCAGTACTCTTTTCAGTGTTTGTCACATATGCATATCTATAAAATGGTAGAAATTTAAGATGATGAAAACTCACTGATGCAAGCGTCATGGTCTCTCATGTAGAGAAGGTCCCCACTACAAGAACACTCGTAACTTCCCCAAGTGTTCTTACAGCTACATTCCGGGCACTGACAGGCTTTCTTCTCTTTGCACTCATTAATGTCTAGTGAATCAAGTACGAAAATCTTTAAGAAGATGTTTATGAAATAAGACAAAATCAAATGGTAACCCAAGTTTTAACAGAGGTCTAACCTTCACATTTCTTAACACCGTCTCCTTTAAATCCTGGAGGACACTCGCATTTCACACTGTCCTTGTCCTGAAGGTATTACAAGTTGAGACATAAGTATCTTACTATAGGGTGAGATTGTGCTTGAAAACGAGTCAAAGCGCAGAAGAAACACTAACCACACAAGCAGAGAACGCATGTCCATCTCTCTCTTCATGCCAACAACCTCCATTGTTGATTGTACATCTCCCTGGCCCGCTTGCTGCAATGCAACCACCAAATAATACATATGAAAATGTGATCCAACAGAAGCACAACAACAACAACAAAGGAAAAGAACACACCATTGAAGTCAGCTAAGAGTATATTTTGCTATGAAAGTTCTTGTGATCATGCAGCCAAGATCATATTTTGAATTTCATCAGAGACGTGAAACAAAACATTCGTTTTACAATTCACTGACTAGAAATTATATGATATTCTTGCCATACTGTAAGACCACAACATATTACTTTGTAAGAAACTTGACTAATATTTTGCTATTCTCAATTGCTACTGTATGTAATAACATAAGTCTACATAATCATAAAAATTATTCAAAAGATGACCCGAGCACTTACGCTCACAGTGGCTGTAACCATCCCCTTTGAATCTCACACCATCAACTATAGGACACACACATACTTTTCCACGAAACGTATCCTGCAAATTAACCAGATTAATAGATATAAAAGAAATTCATCCCAGGAATATCACAATGTACCTTGCAAGCAGTTATGTTGGCTGATTTATCTTCCCAACAACCACCATTGTTATCTAAGCACTCATTTGTCTCCATATCTGTCAAATGCAATAGAAGGTTGCAGATTCAAAAATTTCACAATAAGTGTTTTAAGTGTAATCACTGGTGTACATTCCAGCCATTGATTTGATGACCGACCACTGGGGATGAAATTTAAAAATACGATTATAAAAAGGAAAATCCTAGTCTAGGTGTTTTGAGTATTGGGTTGGATATTCGGGGTAAGGGTATGTAAAACATACCTGTGCTGAGGCATATAGCTGGTTCAGTTGACTCCTCAAAACCAGAGCATAGAGCCTTGAGTACTGCACTCTTCTCCAACTTGCCTGCAAGGGAACGATTATATAACAAGCTAAACTACATATATTGAAGTCTTAAGTTGAACACTGCGGGACAAACCTCGGTACTGTCTGTTGTTGACAACTAAGGTAGGCAATATGGTAACATCACCCCTTGTACCCTTGCCAACCTACATAATATAATATGTCAATCCCAAACGGGTTTACTTAAAGAACATAACTGTGAGATGCCTGGACGAAAATTCAGAAGTAAAAGGAGTAATTTACTTGAGCGTCTTGTTCTTCCTTTAGAACAGGGTTGTCCAAGTCAGCATCGGGGTCTCCCATACACTTGTCAATCTTTCTACTATCGATTCCTGTAGAGAAATATATAGAAAATACGACTTCATTCATCCCAAAAAAAAACATAACTGTGAAATTTTTGTTTATGTAAGAAGAAAGAAACACTCACCAAGAGATTTGATAACAGACTCAGCACAATCTTTGTTATATTTCTTCTCCTTCATGGGACATCTGATCTGGAAATCAGTGACATAATCCCACCAGACCCAGGGTTTGCCGGTTTCATTTGCCACCTTGAAAACACAAAGCTGTCTCAAATTTTCCACAACCACGTCTTTTCCATCATATCCTGAGCTGAAGTCCTGTTCTGGATCAGGAGCACAGTATCTTCCCTTGTTGATACATTGAGACTTGCACTGTCGGCTCAACGTGAAAGCGTGAGGGCAATACCAAGTGATGTAATGAGGTCTAAACTGCGTGAAACCTCCTTTCTCAAGAATCTGCGCCGCACCCTTAAAATCTTTCACAAATTCCATCAACATGTCACACTTAACCCCGCATTCATCATTACTATTAGTCCACAACTCATACTCAACACGGTCATCAGGGTGTGGAACAGCCTCTCTCCAGTCAAGATTCAAGTTAACCATATCACCTCCACTAATCGCTTTCTTCAGCTTTTCACCAAAACCTTTAGTAACAAGAGCAGAAGGTATAGTAATATTCTCAATATACTTTGCAGAAGAAACATCCTCTTCAGGTGTATCCATTGTAATCAAAGGCTCATCAACATTATCAGCCACAAGAACCGCAGAAGCACCAGCTTTCTGTGCATTCCAGACCTTCAAAGCGAAGAAACAATCTACACAACAACAAAAAGTAAACAATCGCCCACCATTAAGCTAAGTAAATGTAGATATGACTTGATTATACACAACCGTCAAACTAAGACAAGTTCTGCAACCATCACATACTCAACGAACCAATTAAGAAGAAAGCCAGTAATTTCTCAGTGAACCAAACCATCACAACCTAGCAACTGAAATCTCTTACTTACTGACGAGAACACTTATCTCGGACTAAATCTTCAGATATACATAAGTAACTACTTTCTCAGCGAACCAAACGCTCTTACTTACTGATAACAAAGACCACTTAACTAGGGCTTCAACTGAAATTCAAAATTACATAAACAGGACTAAAACTAACATCAATCTTCCAATACAATAACTGACTCAAATCAAAAGGGTGCCGTAAAAATGTAAACTTGCAATGGTACAGGAAGAGGAAAGTATGAATCATACAAGGAAACAAAATCAAATCGAGTCAAGTTCTGAATTTGAGATAGAAAAAAGATGAAACTACCTCCACGATCAACCAAGAGGAAAGTAGGTAAAGCACCAGGCTGAGACTTAAACGAAATCGAGAAATCGCTAAATTCCTTACACGATTTCTGATTCTCTTTAGGATAAACCACCGTACCAGCCATACTTCCACCGTACTGAGGAATCCCAAAGTTACCAATTGCACTATCATGTGTCCCCTTTATACTCTCCGGCGAAGTCACCGACAAACTATTCTTCTCCACCACGAATCGAGCTTCGCTAAAAGGGGAAACCACAAGAGAAAGAAGCAGCCATGGAAGATAACACAGAAGCTGCTTCATCTTCGAGATCTCCGCCTCAAATTCAAAAGGATCAACAACAAATTTCAGGAGCAAGGATCGATCATTCAAAAGGGATGATTGATGATTGAATTTGAAATCTTCGTCTGTGTATGTGTGGGCTCTCGATGATCGAAGATTCGTAGTTGAGGCAAGTTTCTCTCTCGAGTGTTTTTTTTTTCCAGAGAAAATGGAGAGATTTGTTTGTTCAACGTCTTAGATGGGAGTGGAAGACTATAGACGACGCTTATTCAAAGTCAAACACATATCGACGACGATACTCATTATAAAATTCTATTGAGACAATGTAAAAACAAATGATTTGTCATAATAATCAACAAATAAATAAATTATAATGTATTTATATATAGTTTTTATTTATTTTGAAAACATAATTTTTATTTTATAAATCTCAATATATTAGAAATATGTTTTTAAGTAATCATATTATATGGATTTATATATATTGAAAGTTTATATAAATCAAAGTCCCTTTTATTAAAAAATAAATATACATTATTTTAAAACTATATATATATATATATAATATGGGTTATAACTTATACTCCCTCCGTATTTTAATAAGTGTCGTTTTAGAATTTTTACTTTTTTGAATTGGATGTCGTTTTCAAATTTCTATGCAAAATTTCTTACTTTTTTAATGTTTTATGACATCATAAAACATTAAAAAGTAATAAATTTTGCATAGAAATTTGAAAACAACATCTAATTTTTTAAAAAAGAAAATCCTAAAACGACACTTATTAAAATACGGAGGGAGTAATTACTACTCAGCTTTGCGGAATTATTTAGCATCATGTATAATTTAGATTTGGTGAATTTTCCAACACTATATAGAGGCGACATTACATATGAACAATATTACGTGTCTCGTCTAATTTTATTTTCTTAATTAGTGTAAATTTATTTAATTGTCCCTATCCCATTAAAAAAAAATCTTAAGCCCCCAATTAAAGAATTCCTAGATCTGCCTCTAATAGCACATATATTAGTTTAAGACTTTAAGTGAATTGTGTTATGTCTTGTTTTATTTGTTTATAATTCCTTGAATTAGTTTGTAATTTCTATAAATATTTTCCTGAAAAAGCTTTCTCATATAGTCATATCTTTATAGACCTTGCAGTAAACCTAAACATGACTAGACTTAGACTTAGTTATTGAGTTCATTTTTGGATATGCAAAGTTGATTATGAGCTTTCTTTTGGAATAATTGGCTTCTGTTCTATGCATGCATTAACAATTTCGAAAATTTTAGGATAACAACTCCATTCAAACTCTTTTAACAAACAATTATTCCATTCAAACTCAATTGTTCCTAAAATCCAAAACTTTCACCAAAACACTCATCTTTTTCTTTTCAATTAGTTATCATTTTGGGTAGGTTTCAATGACTTTTTGTTTTTGTAATCTATATTCTACATTGGTCAACATTATAATTTTTAATTCACAGAGAAATGCTAAAATTTTTAAATAACATCTTTAATTAATAATAATTTAAAATTTTGTTTTATCACATGGAATGAGGCAAAAAAGAAAAGTATATCGTCACAGTAAGATCTTCATTTCGATCCTCACATGCATTCCATGAATGTGTGTTGCATTAATTTACACTTTTCTTTTTTGCAAAATAAAAGATAGAATAATGTAATTTATATATAGTGAAATGAAACATGAATATACCCTAGAAAATTATACGTTTTGTTGGTTTTACTCTCTTTCTTTTTTTTCTTGTCAAAAGGGTTTTTCAAAGAAAGAAAAGAATACTACTCTCCTTCACTGGGACACTTTTTCTTCCAGCAAAAACATATCGTATGATTTATTAGGTTTTGGTTTGGGAAGAAGAAAAAAAATCATAGTGGCTCACCACACGAACTATGAAAACAAAAAATATGTATTTATAGGCTAAGTTTTCTCAAAAAATAAATACATACTATTTTTTTTCGGCCCAAAAATAAGTCGGACAAATATGCACTTAGTTCACCATTCACTATTGCGTACTAATATACACTACTACAAACTAAAAAATTTCATACTAGTACGTATTTGATCATAAAATTCTTTATCATCATAAATTCATTGTTGGTCCATTTTTTTCATTCCACTCTTCGAAAGCTTCATACCAATATTAACAATGTTTAAGTGCATACTATTATCTGCTCCATACTATAGTCTAACGCTTTGCTACTTAAATATTGGTGGGCATGGTCCGATCCGCAGCGCATGAACCAATCATTCAAAGCCTTAATACCAAATAAGAGTTCTAAATTTGAATGTGTATCTTACAAGGGCTTGCTGACAATGTCTCAACTCTCAATCAATGTTTTTAGAAACTAGAGAGATCTATTTGTGGCAATGCTATTTTCAAAATTGACATTTTAATTCAAAAATGAAAGAAACATACATATTTAAGGTCTAATTGATATGTAAGATGAATATCAACATAATAGAATAGTTAAATCATGAAATAGTGAAATCATAAATAAATCATTTATATGGTTATTAATAAAATTTAAAATAGAATTATAATACTACTGAATAACAAAAAGCATGAATAACTTTTTGTTTAATGTAACAAATGTACTCAAATGAATCAAGAACGCTCTAATCCTTCTAATCCTTTAATCTGTCAAGCGAAAGTATAAAATGCTTAAAAATGATGAGTGGTCGTACACTATAAGATTGATAATTATATAACATCATAAATTAGAAACATGCTTAAAATCATCAAACACTATATGAAATATCCATCAATTGATACATGTTGCATCATATTTAGTTGAACTAAAATGAAACTACTCCCACTGTACTTATCCTCGCACTGGGATAAATGACCGTGAGAAGAATGACCGAGAAAATATCCAAGTAAATCTAAGGAAGAACAAAAATGACCAAGGAAGGGAAACCCATCAATGATTACTGAGAGGATTCTAGTATCGCTAACAGATGGGTTAAGTATCGATGAAAAATTAATTTATTTTGAGGCGGGTCATCAATATAGACCTACCAAAATAGTTTGGTCGAGAATAATTTATCCAAACAACATTCATTTCCGGGAAATCAAGTCAGATCGTCAAAACTGACATACTAAGACTCTTGGGTGGAAAAAAAATTCACTCAGACTTCAATCGCTGACGTATGGTCGAGGTAGAGTATCTAGATTAACAGACTAGTGACAATGTTCAAAAAAATATCGTACCAAATTGACAGACTGACAGTAATGTTCGAAGGATTGTCATACCGGATTGAGAGACTGACATTATTGTTCGAAGGCTTGACAATCGCCATAATAAAATACCGTACAAACTGATGATTGACGCTTGTCATTTACCAGACCGTCATACTTGGTAAAAGATGCAGATTCCAACCGAGTTGGATCGGGTTTTCGGATTAACCCAAATAGGGAGCCCAAGTTTTTATTCCCATTTGCCCTAGAAGCGAAAACACCTGTCATCCGCCGTTAGACTAGAAATACAGCCTCACCCCAAGTCATTTGCGTAAATGGGTAAGAAAAGGATGGTGAAGCCTGCCCAACTAAGGCCGTGAAAGCTTAGTTGTTGTCTGTTGTCGAGAAGTGGTTGTTACGTCTGAGAAGTGTTGGATCAACGAGTAATGTCGTAGTAGAATGAGTATAGAAGCGATTGATGTCAGGACAACGACAATCTGTTGAATGCACAGTGAGTTGTGGTAGTTTGATTCATATTTAGTCGAAAGAGATCTGAACCAAAAGCGTGACAAACTAATGATAATTTTCCACTGGATGTTCATTCCACCTATCTACTGTTATGCCACTCGTTGTCTGTGTGAGCTCATATATCTAGAACATCTTGAAGACTGGGCTTTGAGTTGAAAATAAATGAAAATCTTTCTTAAGTGAACGCAACACCTTTCACCTTCCCCACTTTTGCCAACCTAACATTCTAGATTGAGCATTCTTCCTACGAGGGTAAGAAATATCTCTCACATGATGAATACTCCGATAGATACGACATATCAAAGGTACATCTTCTTGTTATAAAGACATTGCCATCAACGCTTTATCTATAACCACCAACATATTTACTAGATTGTATTTGATCAAATCACAATCCACAAACAACCCTAAAGATCAAATACAGAGCCAACTCATGAACCACTAAAAATATCATGTTTCCCGTGAAATAAAAAAGAAATCCAATATAAATCGAGATTGAAATTGTAACTCAAAACTATCCTGAAATTTTTGGACGATTAGAACGAAAATTAAATCTAGAGAAAAATAACAAATAGAATCGAGAAAACAAATTATATATTATATATATATAGATATAGATATATATATATATATATATATATATATATATGTTGCTTTGTGTTCTCGCTTGAATTTGCTCTTGATCGGTGCACTAGAGGAGCTAGTAAGACTAATGGTGTTTGGTGTGGTTTTGAGTTGCATTATCAAGCTCTGTGCTAGCCGACTTCGGGGAATGAACTTGATAGAGTGAGCTCGCACCATTCGCATTTTTTTTGTTCGTGAAGTTTCATTTTGAGAAAGCTCATGGATAAGTATGATGTGCGCTCCCACATGACGTTGGAGGCGTATGTGATCGACGGCATTGAGTACTTAACCGTTGACGGCTCACTTTCGGGTTTCCGGTGAAAGGCTTCTAGTGCTTAGTGTCCAAAGTAATTCGGCTTCTTCAAGTGCTCTCGCCCTTCATCTCCTCCAACTAATCTGGAAGAACGACAAAATCGTTTATCACTTCATCTAGTTCCATTAGCTTTTGAGCTTTTGTTGAATGGATGGACTGAAGTTCGTTTGATGATTTATGCTTCTATGTTTTTACTTTTTTTTTACATGGAACCATTTGTATAGGTTTATAGTCTTTTGATTATACTCCTGAACTGTTTTCATATTTAATGAAATATTTACATTTTTAGGAAAAAAAGAATAAAAGAAATATTTACATATTTACATATATATATATATATATATATATTTTTTTTTTTTTCCGCCAAAAAAAGAATCCTATGCCCAAAGAAAAAAAAAAAAAGGAAACCTTATCTTTGCTTTTCTCTCTTGTAACTAAAAATTGAAATTTCTCATG